GGGCTCACAGGGCATATATGGATTCCCAAAGGGCATATATGGGGTCCCAAAGGGGGTTATAAGGGCTCATAGGGGGTGTATGGGGTCTCTAAGGGGGTTATATGTGCATACAGAGGGTATATGGGGTCCCAAAGGAGGATATAAGGGCTCACAGTGGGTATATGGTGTTCCTAAGGGGGTATATGGGGTCCCATAGGGGATATAAGGGATCCCAAATGGGGAGATAGGGGCTCACAGGGCATATATGGATTCCCAAAGGGCATATAAGGGATCCCAAATGGGGAGATAGGGGCTCACAGGGCATATATGGATTCCCAAAGGGCATATATGGGGTCCCAAAGGAGGATATAAGGGCTCACAGTGGGTATATGGTGTTCCTAAGGGGGTATATGGGGTCCTATAGGGGACATATGGGGTCCCAAAGGAGGATATAAGGGCTCACAGTGGGTATATGGTGTTCCTAAGGGGGTATATGGGGTCCCACAGGGGATAGATGGCATCTATCTATGGGGTTGTAAGGGCCTGCAGGGGGTATATAGGGTGTCCAGGAGGGATATATGTGCAAACATAGGGTGTGTGGGGTCTCTAAGGGGGGTATAAGTGCTCACAGTTGGTATATGCTGTTCCTAAGGGGGTATATGGGTTCCCAATGGGGATATAAGGGATCCCAAATGGGGAGATAGGGGCTCACAGGGCATATATGGCATCCCAGAAGAGGACATAAGGGCATAGACTGTATATAGGGTCCCAAATGGAGGCATATGGGGTCTCAAAGTGGAAGATAGGAGCACACAGAGGATATATGGGGCTTCAAAAGGTGATGAAGGGGATGTATGGGCATGCAGGGAGTATATGGGGTCCCAAAGGGTGTGTATATGGACACACGGTAGTATATGGAGGTTCCAAAGAGGGATATATGGGCACATGGGGGTGTATACAGACCTAAAGAGGGGATACATGTACCCACATAGGGGCTATATGGGGTCTATATGGGGTCTCAATGGGTTCTCAAAGGGGAATACATGCACACACAGGGGATATATGGGGGGGGTCCCAGCGGGGGAAATTCAGTCACACAAGGGTTGTATGTGGTCCCAAAGGGGAAGTATATGAGGTTCCAAAATGGGATATATGTGCACACAAGGGGTATATAGTGTTTCAAAGGAGTGGTATATGGGGACAAGAGGTCCCAAAGGGGGGCTATGTAGGGCTCCAACGGTGGATATATAGACACAGATGGGGTACAGGGGGTGCCAAAGGAAGATATATGGAATTCTGAATTTGGATATATGTTCACACAGGGTTATATATGTGTCCAAAAGAGGGATATAAGGCCTCAGACAGGGGTGTGAGGGGCTCAGAGGGGATATATGTGTACACAGGGGGTACCAAAAAGGGCTGTATGGGATTTCCAAGGTCACACATGGGGCCCCAAAGCAGGGGGGTACAGGTGCACACAAAGGATCTGTGGGGTCTCAAAGGGAGGGGATATATAGGGTCTCAAATGTGTGTATATGGGATCTCAAAGAGGGATATATGGGGTCTCCAAGGGGGATATATGGGCACACAGGTGATATATGGGGGTCCCAAAGGGGAAAATATGGGCACATGGCATTATATGGGGTCCTAAATATGAATATATTGGGTCTTATAATGGGATATAGTGGCACACAGGGTGCTGGGGTGGGGCGGGGGTTATATGGGCATATGGGGGGGGGTATATTGGGTCCCAAGAGGAAGAGATGAGCACACAGGGGGTATATGGGGGTCCCAAAGTGGATATGTGGGCACAC